GATGGAGAAGAGGAATTTGCTTGCTGCTATGGCTTCTATGGGTGTGGTAGAGATGACAGCGGAATAGGTTGAGGTCCGGCGGGCGATCAAGGCGAGGTTGCCGCCCACCGGTGAAGCGAGAAATACTAAGGTCTTAACCTTGCTTTGATACCATGCAAAAAATAACTGATGTATTATTATTGATGTGTGTATTATGTATATTACAAGGATTCCTATTATATAGGAGAGGATTTGGGTGAAGTAGGTGGAGAGTATGTGGATTTAGTGGGTTAGGTTTAGTGGAGTAGGTTTAAGTGGGTGAAGTAGGTGGAGAGTATGTGGATTTAGTGGGTTAGGTTTAGTGGAGTAGGTTTAAGTGGGTGAAGTAGGTGATAGGTTTTAACACTTATTTTTCATCAGTCACTTTGCAATTTACATTTCCAGAATTTTTATACCAGTGGTCCAAAATGGTTTCCAATAGAAAGAATTTTTCTATCTCTCATTCACAAAGCAAGATTATTTTTTATTTTTACACTGTTTCCGTGAATCCTCTGAAGTTCAATTTCTAGTGTATTTTCATATGACTTGGGGACAATCAAAGAGTGGTCCAAGATTCATCCACATTTGTGAGTGTGTGCTTGTAGGAAGCTATATAACCTGTTCTACTGGGTCCTGCACTCAGATGGGGGGAAATTTACTTTTAAGGACAGTGGCCACAAGCCTCTGTCGATAAGTCTTTCTGTCGTTCTCATTTAATTTTGTGTCACAGCAGTATCTTGCATATTAAGTACACAACACACACAAACCTAATCCAAGGACAACCTATGTTTTTTATGCAACAGCTATAATATACCCACTGCACTGTCCTTATTATCTAGTGTATGTGACAGACATCCTGTTGCACAGCTCAACTCTACCATGAGCCCAGTCTTTAATAAAATCAAACAGTTTTCTACCACTTCTACTGTTTTTTACATGCAGTACACCATGTCTCACAATTGAGTGTTATGTTTCAACAATCTTAGCTCCTGTTATAAATGAAAGGTTCCATCCTTCAAGAAAGCAAGCACATCCCATCACTGACACAAAATTCACTTTACCTCTAACCAAACTGTGTTGTTAAAAACTTTAAAACACAGAGTTCAATTCAACTCAGACCCATTATTGTTACTTTTCATTCATCTCAATCTGAGGCTATTTTATCACATTCATAAAATGTTACCATAAGTTTTGATGCTGGTTGTCAACTTACAGTCTGAGAAGCACGGATACGGATACGGATACGGATACAGGATACGGGTACAATACGATACGGATACGACGATATAACAAAATTTGAAAAAGTAGGATACGGATATGGCGAGAATGCGTCCATAAAAAATATTATTTTTACAATTTTTAGTAATGTAGCATACATAAAAATAAAACTTCAACAGTAATATGTAGCATACATAAAAATAATACTTCAACAAATTTTAGTAATGTAGCATACATAAAAAATTTACAAGGTTCATTTATTCATCAATAAGTTTATTTATTTATTTATCCAGACCAGACAGAGTTTATAAGTTTACAAAGTTCATTAGTAAGTTTATTTATTTATTTATTAATAAGTTTATTTATTAGTAAATTTTTCACCTTATTTTATTTATTTTATTTTATCATACAGGTAACACCGTAATACATACAAAGTTCATTTTTTTATATTTTTTTTAATTTTATCTTATTTTATTTATTTTATTTTACAGAGTATACATACAAAAAAAAATGTGACTGGAAAGAGAGAGCGAGAGATGATAGATAAAGGGAGAGGGAGAGGGAGAGGGAGAGATCGACCGAGAGGGGAGGAGATGAGATCGAGCGATCTGTCCATCCCCAGACCAGACAGATTGAGCGAGAGAGAGAGAGAGAGAGAGTGAGATCGAGCGAAAGGGAGAGGGAGATAGAGAGGGAGCAAAAGGAAGAGAGAGAGAGACGAACCTGATCGACGAGCGTCGAGCTGCTGTTCGCGAACCTGATCGACGAACCTGAGCGAGAGACGACGACGAACTCTTCTCCTCCTTTGCTACTGTTGTTCGACATAGGTAGGTTTGGTTGATTGATTGATTGATTTCTTTTTGTTTTATTTTACCTTATTTTGATATTTTATACTTTGACCCCATTTTAAAATTTTGAAATTATTTTTTTGCCTCGCCGTATCCCGAAAAGTATCCCGACCGGATCTTCGCGTATCCCAAATGTATCCGAAATTCAAAAATTAAAAAAAAAAAAAAAGGATACTTTTTTGCCGTATCTGATACGTATCCCGCCGTATCGGGCGCATATCCGTATCCGGTACGCGTACGGGGGCCATTTCGAAGTATCCATGCTTCGTAGCTTACAGTTAACACATCGTATATGGGCACAATCTCTCTAAAAAGGTAATGTTATTAAAGGTTTCCCACAATTTAACTATTCTACCTCCAAGGTCTACCTAGTGCATGCCTGAGAAATTTCCAAAGCCACTAGGCATGGTCCTCATATAAAATTTCATAACTCCCTGGTGGTTTGTATGGAATTCCATGTCCTTGAAAACAAACAATAACCCGAAGAAGGCAATATCCGCTGATTATCTGAAATAAATAAGTTTTGAGTAGGTGTTCTGCATAATTAACCGGATTCACATAAACTGAACCTAATTTAACAGCCGACTGGTCAGATACTTGCAAAACCTGATTACTAGTCAGCTCTACCCTAAACAAGGCACCAACATCATTGGTTGTTAATAAGTGTATGGGACATACAAAAAGGCAATGAAAGGCATATTTGTCACTAGCTAACCAAGTAAAGATGATCATAAATGAAAAACCATGACAGTTGATATATTCTTCAGTCATGCACAGAGCAGCGTGAATGCAGAGAAGATATAGGTGATCATGACAGATTAGTGATACCTGCATCCATATATGCCAGTTTCCCATCACTAGTAAATTGAAAAGTGTCACCATCCCATTTGGGTAGTCATTAAAATTGAACAGTACGTAGCTGATCTTGTCAAGAAAATTGAGTCACAAAACTGAGAGTTACCCAGAGATAATGTCTTAGCAAGTGCGATGAACAGGTAAAGTAACAGTGCCAGTTATGGAGATGGAGGTGTTTTCTATATGCAGACTTCTTGTTAACATTCTATAAAATAACAGTCATGCTACGTCCCTACAAAAGCACCCTTTCATAGACTCTAACCGGTAAGAGTCTATTCACTTACTCTGCAGCGCTAAGCTCTTACCAGTCAGAGTCTTTGAAGGGGTGCTTTTGTGGGAGATTTTTGAGGGGATGAATCATTTTCCATAAAATAAATGGCCTGCAGGAATATTACATGTATCCACTATTAGATAAAAGACAACTATTCAGTGAATAACAATGTTTCTTGATGCCATAGGATACTCATTTTTAGCAAGATCTGTTCCTTCAAGATCAGGGTTCCCAGCATTAACTGTACCACCAAAGATCTGGAAACAAAAGAGGGGGAGAAAAAGAAAGTTCAATGTGCTGCAACAGTAACTCAGGTACAATAGAGAATGAAAAATCCACATTAGTTATGTAGATACATTGAGGTGCCCATTAAGTCAAATTATGCAGTCCGCAGACAGATAACCAGTCAACCACATAGAATTAAAGTTGAAAATTACATGAAAACCTTAACTTGACTTGAAATTCAAATTAGGTGAATAAGGATGACCTCCATGTGTTTCGAAATTAAAGGATGTGAAAAAAATTAAACCCAAGTATAACTAAGCACAAATTTAAAATGATAGAGACCATGCCAAATCCATTTCTGTCTCCACACAGAAACCAAGACAACAAAATGGAAGCAGGTGAAGATAGAACCTGTTGTACCTGTAAACCAAGAGAGCAATAGATGCACATGACACAAAATATGGTTCCCAAGTATGGCATTAGACTTGGTATGAGGGTCAAGAATGTGGCAACGAAGGCACGGTAGCGCTGGACATGCATTAATATCCTAATTAATCGTAACATTCTTGCAAGAAGAAGATAACGGATCCTGCAAATGACAAGAAGCAATTAAATAAATATCATCACATCAAGGAAGTGATTGAGAGGCCAACACTCTAGGCAGTAACAGCTAGTACCAAACAAACAATTTTCCAGACACGAGAAGGAATCAAGGAAAACAGCCCAATGCTATGTCATATGTCTATTTTTAACTACATACCTTGGGTTTTCAATGAGGCTCATGCAAGAAGTTCATGCCTCATTTTATTTACTTATTTGTTTATTCATTTATTTGTTTTGGGTGTCTGTCCAGAGTCATGAAGTTTGTTTGAGATGTTGCTGCATCAGTTGTAAATAATGGACAAGTATGGTTATATGCTTCTGGACATGCAAGTTAACATGTATTTATAATATATTCACTTACGCAGTATAAGATTTGAGGTGAAACTTACACCAAAGAAGAAAATTGAATCTTCTTGGAAACCTTGAAAAGTGAGGGGGGGGGGGGGGGGAATCACAAAACGACAATGCTACGTAGCTCAAATTTTGTGGCTCAAAAGTGGCTCAAATGGCCAAAACGACGTTGTTTTGAGTACAGAACAACATAAAAATGGCCAAAACGACGTCGTTTTGACCATTTGAGCCACTTTTGAGCCACAAAATTTGAGCTACGAGACATTTTCCATCACCAAATTCCACAGTTCATATGTCCTTACCAATGTTTGTCAATATCTTACAATTCGATACTCTTCAAAGGTAAATCGGCACTATCATCAATATGTATCTTAAATTAAATGTATCTTATGATACATATATGATACATGATGCGATATACGACACGTGATACATAATGCAATACATATTTTACTTTAGTACGAAAATTTCTTCAGCCAATTTTTTTTTTTTTAAAAAAAAAACTTATCAAATTATTTTATGTAAATAAATATTGTCAAAAAAATTCATTAACTTAGTAAATAAAAGTATTTTTTGATATGAGAATGGTATTTTTATTTTACTTCTCGAGCTTTTTGACATATCTATTATATTTTATGGTATTAAGTATCTTGCATTATTGATTTATGTCTTGTGAAGACAATATGTATTGATGCATGTATATATTTAATTTAGGGAACTTTGCAGATATTAAGGAGAGGAAAACTAAAACCTTATAACCACTACAAATGGGGCAACTCTAGGCGATGTGGGACACATTCCAACACATCCTCCTGGACCACAACATACAGTAGCCGGACAAACGGCACACCAATCACAAGCCCAACCAAAGCTCTGATACCAAATTGAAAAGCCCAGTTCACATTTCTCCTTAAAACTCAAGTATTTTAAGGAGAGGGAAATTGAAGCCTTATAACCAATACAGATGGAGCAACTCTAGGTGATGTGCGATACATTCCAACAGCTAAGTGAATGTTCATGAATGTGATTATGCACAAGATTCATAATATGCATACAATTATTTGCAAATCTGATTATGCACCAGATTCATAGTAAATTAGTAATCACAAAGTTCCACAGTTCATATGTCCTTACCAGTGTTTGTCAATATCTTACGATTCGATACTCTTCAAAGGTAAATCGATACTATCATCAATACGTATCTTAAATTAAATGTATCTTATGATACATATATGATACATGATGTG